GCCTGTGCAGCAGGAGTGCCATCAGCATACGGATGAACTGGACGTGACAACAAGAGCATTACAAAACGTACAAGCCGGTAATCAGACAGTCGTGTTGGGGCGAGGGATTCCAAGTGCCGCAGATCGCGGAATACGATCCAATCAGACCACAGAAAGGTTCAGGAGGAATTCATTTGTTTAAGGTCATGGGTGAGAGGGACAAGATGCTGTGAAACGATGGAACGATCGCACTGTAATTTGCCGATGATCCATTTAGTGTGTAAGCATTCATTCAGATATCGTCTACTGAAATTTTGTCTAGTAGTATAGTTCGCTTTTGCGTTTAGATCGTGAACATCGTCAAAGTAGGCGCAGCTTATCTGTGTTTTGTCAATGGTATTAGGATGCGATTTAATAGGCCTGATCACTCAGCACAACGACAGGTCAGTCGTGATAACTGTGACAACCCTATCACTGGTCTTTGTATACCTACCGCCGATGATGGTGTCCTAGTTGCATCGCGACTCCCATTGGAACAAGTTAATATAGCTGTGATAAGGTCTACAACGTTCTAAGTCATCGTGATATTTGTAAACGTTCATGTGGGACCGTGGCTCGATGCGATGCGATGGAATCGACAAGTTTTTAAGTGGACCGGTGTAAGATTTCAAGCTGAAATCGCTCAAGGAAAATTCAACTAAACTAGATTTAAATAGAACAATGAGTGGTCACTCGTTCTATTTTAAAGTGTGCTATGTGGGACTGTCTCGACACATTCCGTGTGTACTTATTTAACTGTTCCTTTGGTACAAGGTATAATACCCACTCGAACAGACGTCTATCTGAATGAGTCTGCTCGGTAAATAGTGAAGTAATTAAGACTATCAACAGCTCCATCGTTTCACACCTGGTGGATTCAAACCACGTGGTTCAGGTGGGCGAGGCGTTTCGACCTCCCTACTTAGTACGCAGCCGTCGGTCTAAGAGTATTAAGCCACAACGGAAGCGATCGTAATCGGCCTACATAATACCCCATGGTCATCCACTCGATCTTCCACGACAAACACGACGCAGCCATTTCCACCCATCCTAATGACCCGAACCAGTACGCTTGAGTGATGACCAGTGTATGAGCAACGTCCAGTCATGGAAGTGGGATGTTGATTACTTCTTCCCAACTAATCATGAATCCCCTGCCCCTCTACTAAACAGTTTGGTATAAATTGTGATGTATTAGCCTGTAGAAGAATCACCGCAAACGAGCATGTTCGCTACTGTGTTTTCCTTACAATATATAATGATATATATGTGATATTCGGATAATTTAAACCAGATGTGCCTAAAAAGCCAGAAGATGCTTGCGAACACCCGTCCCCACCACTCAACTGTATAGCTCACTATATCTAATCATTGATTGGGCTGGTCATGATATCTCCAAACGAGAAGCCCAAAGTGTTCTACATAATTAAGTCAAGGTTTTTGAGAGCATTTGCAATCTTCCACCTTCGTGGTTAAACACTTCACACTGAGGAAGCTTATCCGGTAACTTGCGTAATACACGTTCCAACCCATACAATCTATGGAGGCCAGATTCGTAAGTAA